TCAAATAAATAACTAAATATGCTAAAACAAAGAAATAATCAATTTTAAATATAGTGCATTATAAATAAATAAGAAGTCACTTTACCGTGTGGTATGTACATTGGATTGTCATCTTCGAGGTATGTGTGGATGGGGTGAGAATGAGGTTAGTATAGTAGATGTCACTTCATGTGATCGCATTTAATTTAATTAATTTAATCGCATAATTCATAAGGATATTGTTATTTAATTGCTGATGTTCCACCCTTTTAGATATGAAAACATGAAAAATCAACAGTTTATGTTATCAAAATATTGCAAAATGAACTTTCTAAACTGAAATATATTTGCCAAATTAGTTTAAAATACATAATAAAAATTCCCAAGTAAGGGATTAAGTAAGGATACTTTCTAGAAATAACTAAGCAAGAATTCCAAGTAAGGCGTTAAGTAATCCAAATTAAGGATGCTTTCTAGAATATGTATTATATATGTATTTCTAGAAAATGTATTCTAGAATATGAAATTATAAGTAGTAGCCAAGATATCAAAACCTGCAAAATTCTTAAAGATCAGTTAATTAAAATATTTCAGTCAAGTGGCATGTGCCTACATAAATGGAATTCTAACTGTGAGCTTCTAGAAATAGAAAGGTAAAACTCCAAAGAACATTTATTTGTCCAGAGTGAAGAATCTTCAACTAAAGTTTGAAATTCGAATGAAGAAACATTTGGTTATAAAGTTTCAGTGAAACTGCAAAATGTTTATATCAAACAAGAAGTTTTATCGACTATTGCTAAACTGTATGACCATTTGGATTTATTGGATGTGTTATAATTAAAGCCAAGGTATTTTTCCCAAAGCTTCGGCTAGAGAAAATTAACTGGAATGATGAACTTATTTATCAACTGAAAAGAATGAATGGAACCATTTTCTTCACACCTTAAAGGAAACTGAAAACATTAGCAGTCTTCTTGTTTGTTAGTCTCACAACTTTTTAATAAAATCATCATTTCTCTAAAACTGAACATTGATAAAGTCCCCCCCCTTTTTTTTTGACACAACTGTCTCTCTCACCTGGATAAATTCGTTCCTTTATCAGCTCAAAGCTTTTGTAGGAAATTGAGTATCTCAAATTCAATATCTTATGTCAAATTACCAGTGGCAACATGTCTCATCTAGTGAAATTCCTGTTGATCATGGTATTTATCCCTCTGATTTTAAGTACCTGAACCTTTGGTACTCTAGGCCAAGTATTGCTTCTGAAAACACCTAGGATGGTTCCAGTACAAAACAAATAAACTGCACCAAAAAAGAACTATATTTGACTGAACTTAGAAAATTATATAACATCATCTTAGTTTTTTTTTTTTTTTTTTCCTATTACAAGGGACTTTATTAACCAATATCTCTCTCTAAATAATAACTTTCATAAACTAATACAAATTCTTAGTTTTATTTTTGGATTCACAAATAACTGCAGAAACTAGGAAAAGATACTCATACTTAATTAGAACAGTACGGGTAAATGCATTCCGTAGAGAAACTAATGCTTTACAGAAAAAAACAAAATGTTAAGGGAAGTAATATGAGTTACTTAAATATTTTTCTTGGTGATTCATGTTGATGGTCAACTTGTTCATTCTGATCAGTCATCTGACCAGAAACATCCTATTTTACTGCCTCAAGATCACAAGCTAACTGATATCTAAATGGATCATTTTCACATGAAAAATTTGCATGCTGGTTCCCAAAATTTACTTAATCTTGTAAGGCAAGAATATTGACCACTAAATGGAAGAAATAATGCTAGGAATTTGTACATCAATGCATTAATTGCTTTAAGGTGAAACCTAAAATAGAAGAGCAGTTAATGACATTTTTGACAAGGAAAGCATCGCAGTAAATCCCCCTTTTACCAATACTGGTATAGCTCTTTGTGACCCATTTTATATAAAATATAAAAATCAATGCAAAACTATTTTAAGCAAAATTTATGTAGCAGTATTTGTTTATTTTTCACATTCATGCAATACACTTGGAAATTCTCAATAATCTAACAGCTGGGACTTTAATTGTGACTGTAAAATGATTTTTTGCTCATCATGGCATTTGTTCCACAATATTTTCAGACAGTGCCAGTAATTAAGTAATCACTAATTTAGAGCTGAAAAAAATTATATAATCTCATTTCTAGTCTCTGAAAATCTAGGTGTTCATTTAGTATTACAATCAATTTAGAAATTTTTTTTCTCCTAGATCTAATTTTGGTGGACTTTGCGAGGCAGGAATTATATCATTTAAATAGCATCTGAAACAAATTAACTCTTGAAGAATCCGAAATAGTTGTTAATCAAATTGAAGGTATCCTTAATAATCAACCATTTATTCGAGTATTGTCAGATCCAAATGATTTTGAGACTTAACACGTGGTCTTTTCTTCATTGATCGGCCCATTAGTATCCCTTCTGAACCTCAACTAATTAATGTTATGACTAATAGACTTTCTAAGTGGCAACAAGTTCAAAAACTTAACCAAATCATTTGGCAAGAGTGCTCAAGAAGCAGAGTCGTAGCTAGGGTTTTCAGCGCCCAGGGACAACTGAAGATTTCACGACTCCTACTGCTTGCCAAGGATGGAAAACATTTAATTCTAAAATGTCGTAACATCAGTTTGGCGCCCCTTGGATTCTGCGCCCAGGGACAGATGCTCCCCCTTGCCCCCCTCTAGCTACGCCCCTGTCAAGAAGTTATTTAAATAATCTCTTGCAACAAGAAAAATGGCAGTTTGAAAAAGGTATCCAAAAGGATAGTCTTGTACTGTTAAAAAAATATAACCTTCCAATTTGTTCTTCGTTAATTAGTAGAATGCATGATGTTATACCAGGAACAGATTGAAAAATGCGCACTGTTTTAGTACAAACACTTCCATGGGATTTTTAAACATAGTATTTCTAATACAGTCAAAAGTCTTTAATCCGGACTCGTCGGGACTTCGGCGATTCCGGATTATCGATTTTTCCGGATTATAGATCATCAGTTTAAATCTGGTAAGATGGCATGCAGAAATTATAAAATTAAAGATATGAAACCGTAATTTATAAAATAACGAGCAATTATGATCTAAAGGGTATCAAAATTTACAAAAAAAAAAGCTTAATATTTATTTGCTTACTTTATTAAACATTTCTTTCAACGCGCGCATGCGTAAAGCATACCTTACGCATAGCCGAAATTAGAAAATTGCAACCAGAAAACTATTTGATTTGTATTCGTGATATTTATAATGATGAGGAATTTGATTTAAATCATATCAAAGACGGAGTACATCCAGATTAAATACTACATTTAGTAAGGAATTATAAGCCGAATAAAATAAAAACATCTGCCCTGCAGATAACGATAGTGCTGACAGATCAACTTCCAGTTCATTGCACGCCGCGACGTCCCCCCCCCCCCCCCCCCCCCCGCGCAGAGCAGCGTGAAATTGATAAACAGATTTCGGAACGGTTAGATAAACAAAGTATATGCCTTTATCCATTTTTTGTAGCAATTCGTTTTTTGTTTGATGGATATCGAAACATACTTCCGTTTTCTAGATCCTTTGGGAGCTCCAGCATCGGAAATTCTATTTGACATAATCGAAAGTTCAAGCTTACTTTTATAAAATTGCTCTTACAGTCTGCAAAAAATAATAAGCCGGATCCAATTCGAAGATTAAGGAACAACGCAATCATCAACATTAATTGAAATAGATAATTAGATAATTTTAGCTTATACCGTCCGTTATACATTAAACGCGCTGACGAAAACGTATTCTGCGCTTGCGCTGACGCATATGCGCAGTCGTAAAAGTCTTGCGCGCACGCGTAAACGCACGCGTCAACGCATGCGCATGCGTCAACGCGTAAACGCATGCGCATGCGTCAACGCGGCGCATGCTCAGAAAGATTTTAGCTTTGAGGTTCGTATTATAGATCATTCCGGATTATGGGTGTCCGAATTAACGACTTTTGACTGTATATGTTTATTACCTTTTAAACATAGTATTTCTAATATATGTTTATTACCTGTAAATAATACCTTAACTTTCTATACTCTTACAGAATTTTATTATTTTGAGTAAATATTCTATATTGCATTTTAAATGTTCTTTGGTATATGATTGTGCTATTTTAAATTTTTTAAAAGTTTCATTATATAACTTCTTAACAATTTCTTAATAGTTTTGCTAAATCAAATTTGTTAAAATCCAGAAGATTTGAAAGTCGGACAGTGTTGATGCCACCCTGTAAAACAAACAAACAAACAAAAAAAGCAACTTATTAGTGCCAAGTTGGCTGTATTTATACTGCTTGATATGGCAGTCCCTTTTTGCTATAAAAATTATAGTTTTTAGGCTTTCAGTCATTCAATTGTCTCTGATTTATCAGAAGTAGAATTTGGTAAAGAAATGAAAATAAAATGTTAAATTTCTATTGGACTTAATAGCATATTACAGTCCAATATGATACTGTGTGAAAAAATATCATATGTTGCATTTCAAATTTAAATTAACCTTTTTATCCCTTTAAAATGTCCAGAAACATATTATTTTACAATACTCAAACATAAAGTATATTGTTAAAATAAAATATATAGCATAAAAATGCAAAAGTAAAATAATTTTTTTTTTTTTTTTTTTTTAAAAAAGCAAAAGAAACTGTACAACTTGATAGAAGATGCTTCTTATTTCGCTAGGTTTCAGGAATAAATAAAGTGGAATGAAGAATATTTTTCATCTTTGTTATGCTAGGGTTCCAAAAAGTTTTTTTCCTTCTATTTACCATAGACTGCATTCCAAGTCTTTGGTCTTTATTAATTTTAAAGTATCTTAGTTTTTATTAATACAAATTTACAATTTATTAATATTTTCTGTTTTGATGTTAAAACTTTTCATATTAAAGTTAAGATCTCTATTTCATTCAAGATTTCATTAGTGCTAAGATTCATTTGAAATCTCTTGTTTTTCCTTCTTTTAGCCAAGAGTTAATGAAACAGAATGCAAGACTTAAATCTGAAGTTAGTAGAATCAAAACTGTTTTAAGTCAAGAGCATTTGAAGTCAGGTTCATCAGGTGTTAAAGGTTAATTTTTATGCTTGTCAAATATTTTATTCATACTTACATATTTTATTAAAATATATTAATACTGCATTTGTGTGTTAATTTATGTAGCAGTATTCAGTATGCAAATATTATTATGATTAACAGTTTGGCAGTTTAATATTTTTATGGAGTGAAACTTTTATTTAGTTTTAATTTTAATTTCAGCAGTATTTGCTTTTAGTTTTAATGTGCTTAGTTCTCAGTAGAGTTTATAGCCTCTGTAATCTGAATGTGATGCCTACTTCTGTTTATTTCCTAGGGCATCTGTATTTGAAGAAAGAGAAAATTTTCAAACAATTTGGCTGGAACTTGAGTCAAGATTTCTTTATTTCTAAATAGGCTTATTATCAGGGTACATCAAAGCTGATAATTATGCTCATCTTATATCTACTTGCAGTTAGGATCTACTTGCATAGATCACATATGCCTACATATTTCTCTTGTCTGCTTGCAAGGAGGATCAGTATTGGAATTATGCAATATGAATAAGAGTTCTCTTCTGTATCTGTGATATTCTACTTAATTAACTGCTGTAATAAAGATTTCCTCTGGCTGAGAATTGAAACCAGATTTTTTTTTAAATCTGATGATGAGTGTATGGCTACAGCAACATAATGGCCTTTAATGGCACTTATTTAACTATCTACCTGCTGAAATTTGGTTTTGTTGGATATACCTAACAAATAACTGAAATATATATATATATATTATATATATAAATAAAAAAAATAAAAAAAAAACACTGTATTAACACATTCTTGGAAACTAATTTATAGGTGATTTCCATTAAATTTCCAAAAAAAAAAAAAAAAAAAAAAAAAAAAAAAAAAAAAAAAATTCTTGATGACTTAAATGGTGTATACTTTTTATAGCATAAATGTGGACCAGTTCCTAGTAAAACAACATCTTTGAAAAATGTGAAGGATGTATATTTCTTATATGTAATTACTTTGCATAATTATCACATCATTGAATACTATAAAAGTTTATGTAATATATCAGAGCTTATGAAAAATTTCAGAAATATAAAATTAACATGTTTCCAAATTTTTAATAACCTTTTAAAACATATTATAATTCCATTATTAATATTATGATTGATTGATCATTATTATTATGATGTTACTGTAAATTTCTTTCATATTAACATTTATTTGTGTTTGAATTTTCAAAACTATCATCTACAATTTTATATGTATTAATTATAAACACTATTCAGCCGAATGAAAAGTATTCAAATGTTTGTATTTTGTTGCTATACATTATAACTGGAAAACTATGATACCAAATTTTAGTTGCTATGCAATATGTCTATAAAAGTCCATATGCAGCATTTTTTTTTTTTGAAATTGTTATTAGACATTTGAAAGTGTTTTAATTGATACAGATATTCACACTAAAGTATTTTTTAGTTTAAAAGAAACATCAGTTTTAAAGAAGTTATGAAATCTGATTTTTTATGCAGATCCCACTCTACATAGTTACATTTAGTAAGAGTTTTCATTCATTTAAAAAATAAAAGAAAGTTAGACTTTTTTATGACAAAAATTGACTGATATTCTTAATTTTAATTGTTTTTCCCCCTGATTTTTTAGTGCCAAAAAACCAAATTTATCACTCTTCTTTAGGGATCAAATTAATAAATTAAGGTCATTCAAGGCTGATATTTTCCCATTAAATATCATTCAGACATATATCCATCTAGTGTGTATATTTGGTAGTAAATATAATGTGTAAATTTTCTTGAATATATAATATTTCATTTGATATGCTGGGAACATTTTCACACTTCTAGAACACATGCTTTGTAAGTGATTGTAATGGGACAGTGGAGTTTCCCAGCTGATAGAAAAGAAAGCTGTGCACTTGTTCAGAAATATGACGTTTTGTCCAACAATGGACAAATCAAAAATGTGCTTCCATGAAGTTGTACTTCTTAAACACTAAATTATTATGAATCAAAATTTATGCACAATGGCAAATTTGTGCAAATCTGTGATTTTTTTTTCCAAGCAAAAAGTGGTTGCTATGTACATAAAGAGAACACCAATGTGTGCAAATAGCTGTGTACATAGTGCAAGAAAAAATAAGTGTTTTATTTTGGTTGTTTTTTGTATTTTTAATTTTGTTAATAGGTAACTATTTTATGTAATTCTTAGTGTTCAGCCAGTTTCTAAAATGGCTGTTGTCTTTCAAGTCACAGCTTGGCAAAAAATTAATCACCAAGTGTTAGTGATTTTTTTTAGATAGAAGGGGGCTGATGAAAAAATACATATTTTTTTGGTATTATTTGTGCAATTAATATTGTTTTCAAATTTTAGGTGAAGAACAGAAAGGTTTCTCCATGGTACCAATAGGTCATATATCATCTTGTTTTAATACTAAAAATGGGATTCCTAGACAACCTTCACTGTGTAGTGCTGCTAAAGCCACACTGAAAATTGAAAATTCTATTTTCACTAATCCAGAGCATTCATTAATAGGCTTAGATGAATTCTCTCATATTTGGTATGTATTTATCAGTATATTATAAATACTTTGGTCAAAATCTCCTCAAATAGTGTGAAAAAATATAATATTTATTTTTATTATAAATTCATAAAATTGGGTTGATTTAGAAGTAAATCACAATTTACTAGAGGTTGTTTTCATCATGTAGTATATCATCAGCTTAGGACTCAAACTCATGTCATCAATATATTATCTCATTTTGTTTATTGTGAATATATTATTTCATAGTTACTTTGCAGTCTTAAGTTGAAGCATGTTTTTAGACTGCAATGAAATTATAATGATGCATAATAGTTTATTTTGAGCAACTGTAATACTATACAGACAACCTCAGTTGTAAATCTTTTTCAGGTGTAATTAAAAACAACTTGTTAATAGGAGTGACTTCTAAATTGGAATTTATAAAAATTTTTAAAGCTAATATTGTTATTTTTTTTCTTAAATTCTTTCAGATGCTTTTGATTTTTAATAGAGAGAAAATACTCTTCATAGAATTAGATAAAATATTAAAAAATATTTAAAAGTTTAATTGTATCTACTATTTTTACCAGATTCACAGTTTAAACATGGAAGATATACCAAAGTCCACCACTGCTGACTTGCAACTCCAGGCTTGTTCCTAAACTTTTCTAACTAGTAATGATTTAAGTTTAAACATTGAAAAACAGTATAGATTGGATAGTGCTGCTTACAGGCTCTAATAATAGGCAATACTTGTGGAAAGAAAGCTAGATTTTAATCTTTAAAGAGTTGCACTTACAGTAGAGCTGTGTAAGATACTTAACATGTGGGAAGGGAGAGAGAAGAAGGATATGTATCTTAGAAATTTAATGATTTTTACAGAAAATGAAAACGATGATAGAATAATTGCTAGCTGAAAATAACATATTAATTTCCATAGATCAAAGATAAAAAATAGAAGTTATATGAAGAAGTAACATATATTTTGGAGCTTTGATAAAAAAACATATGATGAGCAGGTGTATATGTTATGCATATGATGGATCAAAGAAATTTGTGTGCTGTTTACAGTGTTTCAGCTCCAAATAATATTATGAACCACAAAATATTTACTGAAAATATCTCGACTTTGCTACTGTATATGTATTGTTTTACTTCACAAATAGTAATAATAATTGTTTTGAAGTAAAATACAATTTTATTTCAGTACAACTGATTTTTAAGGTAAATTATATCATTGGAAGAGAAAAACTGCAGATTTTATTGCTATTGGTGTTTCTTTCATTGTATCATTCCTAATTGCTAATTGCACTGAAAAGCAGTTTAAACATATTTTAATTGTAATTATACAGAAATCATTTCATGGGTGGTAACTCTTCACTAAATAAAATTGAAAAATAACAAGTGGATTTTTTCCTCCTTTATAAATGTTATAGAGAACTAGGAAAGGTATTGATTGATTGTTAGATTTTTAATTTAAGTTTAATGACAGCTTAATCATTTTTATCTAATAAAATTTTCCTACAGAAATTTACAAATCTGTAAGATTAAAAAACAGTGTATATAGTATGTACAGTCAAAAGTCGTTAATTCGGACACCCATAATTCGGAATGATCTATAATCCAGACCTCAAAGCTAAAAACTTTCTGCGCATGCGCCGCGTTGACACATGCGCATAGGCGTTTACGCGTGCGCGTAAGATCTTTTACGACTGCGCATATGAGTGTGCGCAAGTGCAGAATACTTTTTCGCGTGCGCGTTTTATGTATAATGGACGTATAAGCTAAAATTATCTAATTATCTATTTCAGTTAATGTTGATGATTGCGTTGTTCCTTAATTTTCGAATTGGATCCGGCTTATTATATTTTGCAGACTGTAAGAGCAATTTTGTAAAAGTAAGCTTAAACTTTCGATTATATCAAATAGAATTTCCGATATATATTTGTTAATATGTAAAGGATCTAAAGCGAAAGTATGTTTTGAAATCCGAAATCTGTTTATCAATTTCACGCTGCTCGGCGGGGGGAACGGCGCATCGGGCGCGTAATGAATTGGAAGTTGATCTGTCAGCACTATCCTTATCTTCAGGGCAGATGTTTTTATTTTATTTGGCTTATAATTCCTTACCAAATTAGTATTTCATCTCGATGTGCTCCGTCTTTGATATGATTTTAAAACAAGTTCCTCGTCATTATAATTCGCTTCCGATAGCGAAGAAAGTGACAGAGGTTAGTGAAAAACGAAAAAATTTCGATTGACAATTAGTGGTGTTCTCGACACAGCAATTATAGGACTTGAACAGCGGAACTTTGTAACTGAACAAGAAATTATGTCTGTTTAATAGAATTAAAGAGAAAGTATTATCACATGAAACGAAGCAAAACTTAAACAACTTACATTGAAAGAAATGTTTAATAAAGTAAACAAATAAATACTAAGCTTTTTCTTTTTGCAAATTTTGATACCCTTTAGATCATACTTGTTCTTTATTTCATAAATTACGGTTTCATATTTTTAATTTTAGAATTTCTGCATGCCATCTTACGATATTTAAACTGATGATCTATAATCCGGAATCGCCGAAGTCCCGACGAGTCCGGATTAACGACTTTTGACTGTATTACTTAATTTCCTAGTTTTACAAATATGTATAAATTTCATCCCAAGTTGTTTAGCTAGAATTTCTTCGTTTGTTCACTTAGAATTAGTTATTAGTTTATCAGTTGTGGAGCCATTCATTTAGATGCAATAAAACAGAATGGTTAAAGAGGGTTTTTATTAAGATTTGTATGCTGAAATTTTAAAACTTTTTAATTTATTGTTATTTGTGATTATTTAATTGACTTCATTCCTTAATTCTGTATCTGAGTTACTCGTATTTTTTAAAAATGTACCCAAGTGTATGGTGAAATTGTTATACATATATGTAATGCGTATTGTTATGTATGTAAATATACTATATTATATATAATTATATATATATATATAAAGGATGAAATAAAATTAAGCAGATGTTGTTTTTATTGTTATACATATATGTAATGCGTATTGTTATGTATGTAAATATACTATATATATAGTCTATATATATATAAAAGGATTAAATAAAATTAAGCAGATGTTGTTTTTATTGTTACATTTGAATGTAGATTTGATTGTTCAGTCTTTTATTGATAAATTTATAAATTTTTTGAAAGAAGTGTTAACTCAGATTTGGTTTACTATGTCAACTTATTTCATTAATTTATGTAGTTATTTATATTATAGAGTTTTTTGGTATTGTAATGAATTATGTTTATTAATAATTTTTAATTTCCAGGGTTTTATTTGTGTTTCATGAGAACAAAAAACAGAATTCAGTGAAAGCAAAAGTTCATCCACCACGTTTAAATGGAGCTTCAGTTGGTGTCTTTAGTACCCGCTCACCACATAGACCTTGTGCCATTGGATTATCACTTGTGAAATTAGATAAAATTGAAGGTATAAACATACTATGGTTTTTGATTTATTTTATGAAAATGCACTGATGCCACATTATTTGAAGTTTCTTATTGATGTTAGAAACATGTGAGATTATTATAATAATTATATTTTTTAAAAATAAATATCCTGTTACATTTTGTAGCATGAGTAAAGAACATTAGGAGTCATACTTAAAGGATTCTAGTTTTCTATTCTCATTCAAACAGAATATTAGAGAAGCTTTCAGGTTATTGAACATTTGTAGTTGAATAACACTAAGCTGTCCAACACCTGGCTATTGGAAACTGATTTAAATGTTTGATTGTAAGCAATGCATAATTGGAATTATTTTCCAACTCTTAACTTTTTACGTTAATTCTGAATTGCTGTATTTCACAAACTGTGAGAAATTCACATATTAGAAATAGAAATGTATTCTTTAACTTTTTATGTTAATTGTGAATTGCTGTATTTCATAATCTACTAGGAATTTACATATTACAAATAAAAGTAATGAGTAACACTTTTTTGGAATGGGGTAAAATGAGGTTATAGTTATACTAAAACTTCAAATATCCAGACTAAATAGGGTATATGTAAACATAAAAAAAAAGGATAACTAGGCTCTCTTTTTTAAGGCCAGATACTTATTTGCTGTAATGAAAAAGAAAATGATCATATTTTTTTTCCTTATCATATTTTATTTCAACAAAAATTACACTTAAAAAAAAAGGTTTAGTTTGTTTTATATAAAACAAAAGGAAATAGCTCTTTTTCTAATGATAAAACTAATTTATATATCTGTATATTATTTGCTGAAACACAAAACCCATTTGTATTTTAACTAATCAGAAATAATGAAAAGTCAACTTTTATTATACAGGGTATAACTTAAACACATAATCCAGTTTTTATTTTTTACTGCATTACAATTCAAATTATATTTAATAATATATTTTTTAATTTATATAGTAATAGTTTTGAATTATAGTCATACATGCTTTCAAGTTAATTATTTGTCAAACATTACATGGTGCATAAATTAGTTAACTAACTTTGGAAACAAACTCCTTTTTCTTACAAATGAATGGACACTAGCTCCTTAAGCATTTGTTAGGAATGATTGATCCCATCAATGATTTAGTTGTCTCATCACCGTGAACATGCTCAAGTCATGTAAAATCACATGCTGTAGAACGACATTACATCTATGACAAGGATTAGACTCGCAGAAACAACCAAACCTTGCATGAGATTCAAATCTACGCCTTGGAGTTTGGGCTAGTATTTAGCATCTGATAAACTGTGTAATATTCAGGATGACTTTATAATATATAAATGTACTGTATTCACATTTTAAAATTTTTATGTCAAAAAAAATTAAAAGCATATAAATAAAATAACAGCAGTTTCAATTTCATTTGAAAATAAATTTAAAGTTATTATATGATTTTAAATTAATTACTGAAAAAAAAAAAAAAAAAAGTCCAGGTAACTAGAGTTTTACTGCACTAAATGTATTGGTGTAAATAAAGTAGATATTATATTCACTTTTTTAATGTCCATATTTTTTATTCAAAAATTTCAATACAGATTTTGAGGTGTGAAATTACACAAATCTTTTAGTTCTTAAGTTTGATAATGTGCACTTCTCTCTTGTAGGAATCTTATAATAATGAGAGGAGCACTGAGCAGCAAAACTTAGGGATGTTAAAATTTTAGAATTTCAAGAGGCAGCAGAATTTAGGAGCCACAAAAATTGCACCCGATGGCAAAATACATAGCGCTGTCCTGCCTCCTCCTATAACTACTCAAAGGCCAAATATGTGATTCTGGCCAACATCAATATAACATCAATCAATACAGTGCTGCCATGCAACTTCTTAGCCAGCAGGTGTTTAAAAATGATATGAAGAAGCCTCAATCAGTTGTGAGAAAAATCCCATATGTATGGCACACCTTCTTTCTTTTGTTCCCTTCCTAGATTTTGTAAAAGGGAAATTTTTTGGCTGGTGGTCCAGAGGTCCAGATATTGGACATCTGCATTCTGGACTTTGTACTTTATATATATTTCATAGCTTTGTATCATATATACACCGAAGAGCCATTACATTATGACCACCCTCCATCTATAACAATTGGCTCACGCAGGAACAATACCACAGTGCATTCACAGCTGATGTTGGAGTATATAAAGTGGCTATGCATTGTCTTTCCAAACATGCAGAATTAGTGACATAATGGGAAAAACAGCTGAGTTATCAGACTTCAGTAAAGGTCAAATTGTTATGGTTTGGCAATTCGGAACATCAGTATCAGAAATGGTGCTTTTAGTGGGCTGTTCACGTGCAGTTGTTGTGATCATGTATCGAAAGTTGTGTGTGGATGGTGAAACAACAAGTCGGCGACCAGCAGTGTGTCGTTGAAAGCGCATTGATTACAGAGGAGAGCGGAGATTGCTAGGCATTGTTCACCGTGACCAAAGAGCTACAACGGTCGAAATCACCCCCAGCTACAACAGTGGCGACCCAGATAGTGTTTCTCAACACACTGTGCAGCATACATTGTTTCTATGGCCTAAGCAGTCGAAGCATGGTTTTTCACTCACAACACATCACTGCCAGCTGCATCTGTAATGAACCAAGAAACATTGGAAGTGCACATTAGAATGTTGGAAGAAAGTTTCATGGTCCAACAAATTATGTTTTCTTGTCCATCATATCAAAAGGCATGTACTAACACATGATTACCAAATGAAACCCTGGCTCCCATATGCACAGTTGGACAGAGACAAGCCGGTGGCGGGGGGGGGTATTATGGTGTGGGCAATGTTTTCATCAAGCACATTAGGACCTATAATCCCCCTGATGTCTGTGCGCTACGTGAACGTCATTGCAGACCAGGTTCACCCATTCATGACAACAGTATTTCTGGCGGAGGATTGTGTTTACCAGCAGGATAATGCACCATGTCATAAGGGTCGAATCGTCAGGGAGTGGTTCGAGGAGCATTCCAGTGACTTTCAAGTAATGTCTTGGCCTCCAAATTCACCTAGAATTAAACCAATAGAGCATTTATATATGTGTGGTAGGGGAGTTGAAGATGCTTTGCTAGGGTTAAATAAACAATTTCAACATTTTCCACACTATGGACGACATTTAATGAAAATAACAGAAACGGTACAGTTTGAATATAATACACGTGCTCTTGCGCCTTCTCGCGCTTGTTAGATATAAACACCGTTCTTTATCACTTTTAGAATCTAAATAGCAGCTTAGCGCCTACTCGCACTAGCTATATGCAGTCAAGTTACCACCTTCACATGGAAACACAGAGTTCCATATTTAACACCTTCACGTGTAGACCTACGTCTTACCACCTTCTCGTGGAGACATCTTATCACCTTTGTGTGGGTTAGAAGACTGTTTATCTATGTCATCATTCTCTTTCACCTCGCTCTCGCTGCTGGCACATAGGTGAGGCCTTCTGGTGGTTGTGTTGCACTTACGGATACCACAATTCGGCGATCCTGACTTGGTTTTTGTCCTCGAAAACGCGGATCAGCGACACCGAAACATTAAGACAGCACCTGAAAATAAATTAAGAAAAAAAAAAAAAAAAAGAAAGAAAGAAAAAAAAAAAAAAAAGAATGAAAGATGTGCGGAAGAACCACACATAGTCCTAGACATGAACAGTCCAATCCTTCATGTGATCAGCTGCTGTAGTGTTACATCCAGGACCTTCATGGTGTCCCACGTTTTCCACCTGGTAGCGATCTTTACCTTTCCTCGCTGTTACACAATATGGAACTTTGGCCTTAACTTTAGACCACCTCCATACTGCGTTCTTTGTATGGCAACTAGGTTGTTCACCATTGTATACCTGTGCCTCTTTTCTCTTCTTGTTGTATGTTTTTCTATTCTCTTCCTGAATTTTTAAAATGTTTTCCTTGCATCCTCTCTCATATCTTCTCGATCTTTCATCAGAATATTTCTTTCTTCTTCTTCGAGAATTTCCATTAAGTCTTCTCGATTTCTCATTTTAACACCAGTGAGAAACTCAAATGGAGAACTCTTTGTGCTTCTGTTCTTAGTGCTGTTCAAGATCCATTGTACATCTCCAACATATTTGTACCACTTGGTTGGATCATCTATGAATAATTTGGATGGGACTGGAATCAGACTGAGATGAATTCTTTCCACTTATCCATTTCCTCTAGGAACGCCTGTAGTTGTACATATGTGCTGGATCTACTCTTGACTACAGTAATCTTCAGAGTCTTTAGAGATAAACGCCGTACCTTTGTCACTTATTATTCTCAAAGGATTGCCAAAAGTTGACTGTTGCAGTTTTAGCTTCTGCAATGCCTCTTGAGCTGATGTAAACTTTACTGGATAAAGCCACACGAACTTTATGAATGCATCAACCACGGTTAAGATATGATTGTAGTTCTTATTTGTCGAAGGTAATGGTCCTATAAAATCGATATGAAAAGTGCTCAAAGGGATACTATCTTTTGGTATGGGATTCAGCAATCCTTTATTCTTACCTCGTTTTCTGTCACACAAAATACATTCTACACAATTTGAAATAACTTGTTCAATTCATTTTCTAAGGTTAGGAATATAAAAGTCGATTTTCAGCGGATCTTCTATTTTAGACACTGCAAAGTGTCCCTTGTTGTGGATACTACGTATGATTTTTAGCTCTAATGCTTCGGGTACCACAAGTAACCCGCGACCACTGTCGAACTTGTATAGTATACCATTCTTCACTAGGAAATCTTTCTTTAGTCCTTGCTCGACTAAGGATTTTAGCAACTGGAGACGCTCATCACTTCTTTGCGCAGCTGCAATTTTGGCTGTAACTTCTCCCTGAGAACAAGTAACCATCATGACAGCCTTTCTATTTAATGAATCCACATGCTTCATTTGCTGCCCAGATCTGTGAACAATTTCATAGTCAAATTCTTCTAGAAGTAACGCCCATCTCGCCACTTTAGGAGTTAGATCTTTCTT